ATTTAACCACTTCTTAAGATGGAAGGATGATTTTCCATGTTACTGTTGAATGTAGACTTTTTAAACATATACATTTCTAAGGACTGCTTAACTTGCATCCCACAGATTTGATGTTTGGTGTTTTCTTTGTACTTTAAAATTTTTTTTTCCTGTGATTTAGGGCATAGGTATTGAATTACAACTCAGGTGTTACTTAAAATATGTTTTAAATTTTTCAAATGGTTGGGGATTTTCTACATGTAATATTGTCATTGCTTTTCTACAACATCCTCTGTGTTTTATCAGTACGTTGAAGTTTACTAGACTTGTTTCATACCCCAAATGCGGTCTATTTAGTAAATGATCCTAGTGTACGTGAGAACAATGAGTTTTCTGCTGTTGTTGGATGTAGTGTTCTCTAAATGTCAGCTTTATCAAGTAGGTTGATAGTGTTGCTTAAATATCCTGTATTGTTTTGATTTCTGATATTACTCTATCAATTGCTAAACTAGGGATGCAAGAATCTCTAACTATGGTTAGGACTTGTCTTTTTCCCTTTAGTTTTGTCAATTTTTATTTACTGTATTGAATATTTGAGATAATGTTTTGTGCATGTCCATTTAGGATTGTTATATCTTCTTGATGATGTGACCCTTTTATCATTAGGAAATGTTTCTGCTAATAAACTTTATCTTGAAATATATCTGTTCAATATTAATAGAGCCACATGAGCTTTCCTTTGCTTAGTGTTTACATGGCAAATCTTTTTTTTTAAAATATATTTTATTGATTTTTTACAGAGAGGAAGGGAGAGAGATAAAGAGTTAGAAACATCGATGAGAGAGAAGCATTGATCAGCTGCCTCCTGCACACCCCTACTGGAGATGTGCCCGCAACCAAGGTACATGCCCTTGACCGGAATCGAACCTGGGACCTTTCAGTCCACAGGCCAACGCTCTCCACGGGTCCTCAAACTACGGTCCACGGGCCGCATCGCTGAAAACATTTATTCAGCCCGAAAACATTTATCCAGCCCGCCGGGTGTTTTTGCCGCCGCCGCCTGTTGCTTAGCAGCCGACTAGTTTTTTTTTAAACTATAGTCCCGCCCTCCAACGGTCTGAGGGACCCTGAACTGGCCCCCTGTTTAAGAAGTTTGAGGACCCCTGCCACTGAGCCAAACTGGTTACAGCATACATGGCAAATCTTCTTTCACCACTTTCTTTTTGCCTGTCTTTATGTTTAAACTTTGTTGCTTATAAATAGCACATAATTGAGTCCTGCTTTTAAAAAAAAATCCAGTCTTTTGATTTTTTATCAGAGTTTTAGTTCATTTATGTATAATGTAATTAATAATTTGTATGTGTTTAAGCCTACCACTGGTTTTGTTTTCTATTGGTCCTGTTTATTCTTTATTCTTCCTTTACTTTTCAGTGGCTTCAATCTTTGTAGTATTTCGTATACTCTCCTGTTTGATTTTTCATTATGCCTCTCTGTGTGTGCATTTTTACTAGTTATCCTAGAGGATGTAACATCAACTTTAAAATTATCATTGTATCTACCTTTTCATAAATAATGTAAGAACCTTATAACAGTAGACTTCTAATGATCTCTTTTGCTTCTGTGCCCTTGTTATATTTTAATTCTGCCTACACTATGATCCCAATAATACTCTATAACTTCTAATTTATGAAATCAATAATCAGTAATCTTTTTAAAAAATATAACATTTACTTACATATATGTATATCTACACATATATATGAGGGGGGTGTGTGTGTATGTGTGTGTGATTTTTTTTTTTGACTTTTCTTTTTTATACCAACATGTTTATTATCCACTCTGATTTTTTTAATACTTTTCAGCAGAAGTGAATTTTTATCTTGTGCCATTTCCCCGAAGTTCCTTAGGCTAAATTAATTTGAGCATTTCTTGTAATGCAGGACTGCTGGAGAAAAATTCTTAATGTTCTGTCTGTCAGAAACTGTCTTTATTTTGCCTTCATTTTGGATGCATATATAATTCTACAATGATAGTTTCTTTCCTCACAGCACTTCAAAGAAGTTGTACCATTTTTTCTCAGGCCTCCATTTTTTCCCCCCATGGCTAGTCATCCATCTTTCTTATTGTTCCCCTATATGCTGTCTTTTGCTTTTGCTGCTTTCAAGATTTTCTTTTTATGATGTGCCTAAATGTGGTTTTCTTTGTTTTTTCCTGCTTGGGGCTCATTGAAATTCTTGGTATGTGAATTGATATTTCCTATCAGTTTTGGAAAACCTTAGCCATTATCTCTTCAAATCGTTCTTCTCCATTTTTTCTTTCTGCACATTCTAGGATTCTGATTGCATCATTTTAGGCTATTTGATATTGTTTCAGAGAGTCCTGCAGGATTTTAATTGATGGAAGTGACTGAGTGACAAGATGGTGAGGCTGATGCCACTGGAAGAGAATTTTTATTACTTAGTTTCTGAGAGAATAAGCCAGGTCACGCCATAAAGATCCATGTGTGGAAACATCAGGTTTGGGTCAGGAATCAAGATTGGCTAGTTTGAATAATATTGGTGAGCACTGGGCTATAGGGGTGGTTTTTGGTTGTCTGGTACCTGGCCCTGGGGTGATGTAGGGCAGGGGAAATATTGGGCTGGTGGGAATTCAGTAAAAGGATTGGTTGGTTTGCATACGAAAGGTGTCTTCCTGAAGTCTTCATCATTATTTTATTTTCCATTCTTGCATATCTATTTGTCTCTTTTTAATAGTTTCCAATTCTTTGCTGAAATTCTCTTCAGTTTATGCATGCTGGCCACCTTTTTTAGGTTTCTGTCCAATCTCTCCAGTCCCATATCTGGGTTATTTCTAGGTATGGTTCTCTTGACTTAACTACTTCCTCTTTTGGCATTGGGTTACATTTTCTTCCTTCCTTGCCTCGTATTTTTTTTTTTTTTGGGGGGGGGGCTGTTGAATGCCAGATATTGTGTGTAAGAGCTGTAGAGATTAAAGTAATATTTATACCCGATAAAGAACTTGTCCATTTTTCCATCAGGCTACTAATGTGCAAGGCTGTCAATTCAGTTGGCATGAGCTGACAAATAGCTTTTCTGCCTAGTATTCTTTTGCAATATTAAGAATTTTCTGGTAGAATCTCCTTATGTCTGCATAAAACTGAACAGAGAGAGATCGACCTTTGGTCCTGAGAACCAAAATGTGAAGGAAACAGACCAAATAGTTAACTGTGCGGTCCTGGAAGTGGAGTTAGGATGGGGGTGAAAGTGACTTTCTGGTTTTGTAACAATAAACATGTATTTCTTTCATAAATAAAAATTTAATCATTGCTACCATTTCACGCCCATTAGGATGCTTTTTCCACACCACACAGTTCTCCAATTCTCGGCAGAGACCAACTGAACGTCCTACAACTGAACTCATTCTGACAATAACCAGTCAGCACAGATCCCACCAATTAGGGGCCCAGTCCCATAAGCCTGCCCTCTCCCAATCTGGGTGCCATTTACAAGTCCAGGTCGACACTTGTGCTTTTGGCTGACTGGTTATAAATTGAGGGTTACCGTGATCCTCTCAGGTTCAATAGTAAGTTGGGAGCTGGCCAGTGTTCTCAGTGATTAGAGCATTGGCCAGTCTACTGAAGGGTCTCGGGTTCCATTCCTGGTCAAGGGCATGTGCCTGGGTTAAAGGTTTGATCCCCGGCCCTGGTCGGGGCTTGTGTGGGAGGCAGCCGATCGATGTGTCTCTCTCACATTAATATTTCTCTCTCAAAATCAATGGAAAAAATATCCTCAGTGAGGATTAACAAAAAATACCAAAAAAAAAAAAATATTTTGGGATCTCACAGAACTCAGGAAGATAGTTCATTTGCTATTGCCAATTTATTACAGAAGAGGATATTTAAAAATCTGTACGTTAACAGCCAGATAGAGAGATATATTGGACAAGGCATTGGAGGTGAGGCTTGGAGCTTCCATACTCTGTGAGCATACCACCCGCCCAGCACCTCCATGTGTTCATCAATTTAGAAGCTATCCAAATCCTAGGTGTGTTTTTTGTTTTTTGTTTTTTTTTTCTAGAGGCTTCCTTGTGTAGCAGATGATTGATCAAATCATTGGCCATTAGTGATGGAGCTCATTTTCCAGCCCCTCTCCTTGCCCAAGAAGGGTAGGGGAGGATAGGGCTTAAAGTTCAAATTTTCCAATCCTATGGTTGGTTCCCCTGGCAATCAGCCCCCATCATGGGGCTATCTAGGAGCCCCCACCCTCATCATCTCAGTAGTGTGCAAAAAGATACAGAGATTCCAAAGGTTTTTTGGAGCTGTGTGTTAGGAAATGGGATCAGAGACCATATTTATTTATTATTATGTCACACCCAGCCCTTCTGCTGCTGGGTGTATGCCCAAAAGAATTGAGCACAGGGTCTTGAGGAGATCTTTGTATGCCTGTGTTAATAGCAGCCTTGTTTACAATAACACAAAGGTGGAAGCATCCCAGGTGTCCATTGAGGGGTGAATGGATGAGCGTAGGCATACAACAGAATATACAACAGAATATTTGTCAGCTTTACAAAAGAGGGAAATTCTGAAATGTGCTACTCTATCGATGATGAAAATGGAGGATATTATTCCAAGTGAAATCAGCAAGTCACAAAAAGACAAAACCCTGTATGATTCCACTTATAAGTGTTACCAGAAGTAGTCAGATTCCTAGACTCAGAAAGTAGAAGGATAGTTGTCTGGCGCTGGGAGGGAAAGGGAATGGGGAGTTCTTTAATGGGTACAGAGTTTTAGTTTTAGAAAAGGAAGAGTTCTGAAGCTTAGCTGCTCAATAATGTACTCAACCCTGCTGAACTATACAGGTAACATGGTTAAGATGGTAAATTTTATGATGTGTATTTTCTCCAAATTAAAAAATTTTAAAAAAACAACAACAACGTAATCACCACCATGAAACATTAGAGAGTAGAAAAGGAGGTTTGTTTTCAGCAGCTGAGGGGTAACCTGATTGTTCTGTGTCTTTCAGGCCCGGCGTTGCCCTGACCATGCAGGCGTTTTCAGAAGAGGAGAGGAAGCAGTGGCTGGAAGCTCTGGGTGGAAAAGAAGCTGTAAGAATAATCAGTGGTTGAGTTTTATTTCAAATCCCATAGAGTTGACTTGTGTTCGTTTTCCTGTTATTTTTATTTTATAATATTTGAAAAAAGTCCCCTGCTGAAACTGGCGCTTGGATTAATCTCAGACATGTTCAGAATTCGAGTAATTTGGCTTAAGGTGGCAGCAGCACACATGAGACTGCTGTATCATTAGTTTTTATTTTCGATGTTTTATGACTTGCCACTCTCATTTGCTGTGCTTGGGGAAGTCATCTGAATTCTCCGTGTCTTCTCTCCTACCTGACAGTACTTTGGATGATGAACACAATAAAGGCTTGCAATTTATTTTGATCTCAGTGGAGGTGGGATAGTAAATATGAGGCAGGGCGGGCAGTCCTATAAGCCACTGCTGTAATTATGTTGCTTGCTTTAACAATTTGTGATTTAGCCTAATGGAATACTGTACACAGTGTTATGAAGCCCTAGTGAATGGGCCTGTGTATTTGGATTGGTTTGAGGAATAAAGTCAGGAATATAGATCCAGAGGCACAGAAATCCAGTCTGTTTGCCACGACTTTCATTTCAGTGGCCTTTGGGAATTGAGATTGGGCAGATCACGCGTTGAATTGGGGACTTGGGATCATTATAGAAACAAATCTATATAGAAATAAATCTGTTGCCAAAGGCAGTCTCATCTTGAAGACATGTATAACCCTTCTTTAGAGTAAAGAGTCAAGTCATCCATTTGAGATACACAGATAAAGGCAAATGTGCAGAAAGAAAATACAGTCATGCACTACAGATATGCACCACATATGCTATGGTGGTCCCACAGGATTATAATGGAGCTGAAGAATTCCCAGTGTCTACCGTAGCCTTTGTGAGGTATGACTCATGTGTTTGTGCAGAGATGCCTTAGTAAACAAACCTACTGTGCTGCCAGTAGCATTAAAGTATAGTCCCATTTACAATTACTATAGTAGGCTACAGCATCTAGGTGTTTGCTCGCACCATGATACCATCACCTAACAATGCATTTCTCAGAACATAGCCCCTTTTGGTAAGCGGCACATAACTGTGTTCAGCTGTGTATTTATATGGCGACAGTTCAGGTACTGTGTAGTTTTTGCAGGTGCTATGTATGTCTTGCACATAATGGGGAGGCGCTAGAATTCTTAGAGGCAGCCTGGAATGATCACCTGTCTATTTCAGATGTGGTTATTTACATGATGGGCCCGAGTCATCGCTTTCTGAATTAGGTAGAAACCAGGTTTTAGAAATAGTGGCGCAAAAATGAGCTTCACCTTACGGATCAAAATGCAGCAATGACTTTGTCCTTCTAGAGTTGTCAGGCTGAGCATTTCATATTTGCATGGACTTTTAAAGGAGTTCCCTAGGAATCGTGGTCCCTTCACCTTGTTTTTGCTCCCTCAGTGAGAGACGGAGTGGGCTAGCTGTCTACATTAGAGCAGATGATGGGAATTCTCCAATACCAGTGTACTTTTTGCAAAGCCCTAGGTGTGCCTACTGAATCATTTTTATTGATTTGTTAAAAATACTGTTTCCCCTTTTTTCTCTCTTACCAGCTGCTCCATACTTTTAATAGAGCCATCGTCCCAAGACCAGAAGGAAGTAAGTGCTAATTTATAAAACAGACTGTTTGCCTCCCTCTTCCATGAATGTCTCTGTTTTCATTACTGATGTCAGACTGCTGCTGGGTGCTCACTCTCTGCACCCTCTCTATGCTAGCCCTCCAGGTACTATGTGTTCTGCCTTATTCACTGGGGACCTGTTCAGATTTTCCTGGGCTTTTGTAACCCTCATTGATCCCATCTCTGAGCATTAAAAAAAAAATTCTTTCTCTACAGTTACTTTCTCTAAAAACCCAAAATATATTCTCTGTCAAAATTCATTTTGATATTTATTCCTATAGCCATACATGAACACATAGGAGTTTCAGGTATGCGTCTTTCAGCTTCCTCCGTTGTAAGTTCCTGTTGGTAGGAGCTGTTTATCAGGTCTCTTATTGGCCACCGCTCCCTCACCCTTGATGTCCTTTATCCTTAGAGTCTCTGCATCTGGCTCCACAAATAACATATCATGACACCTTAGAACATACTCACATATTCTAGGACAGTGATTTCACATGCATTGTGTGTATGCACTAAAGGAAAATGAAGTACTGCTTGGCTCTGTAGTCTGGATTTTACTGAGGTAAACCAAACATATGATCAGATTTGCTAGATTCTTTATGAATTTACTTTTGATATCTTTGGAGAAATTAAGACTGCATTTCTCACATGTCCACAGTTTGGAGACATTATGTCACATAATGTACAATTTCAGAATTACCATGATGTGCATATCACTTGAGCCAAACATGAATAAAAGACATCTTTTCTAGCCTGGCACTGGAAAGTGACAGTGTGCACGCAAGGTTGTAAATGTACTGCAGCATCTTCTTAACTTCTTTCTGCCCTCTCTCCTCCTCCTTCTCCTCCTCCTTTCCCTCCTGTCTTCCTCCCTTCCTTCCTCCTTTCCTTCTCTTTTCTTTCTCTCCTCTCTTTACCTACTTTCCCCTATCTCTCTCTTTTTTTCCTTCTCTCTTTTCTTTCTTCTTTTTTTAAATAGAGAAATGGAAACATGCCTTTAAAAAAGTTTTGCCAAGCAGAAAGAATCACTTGCATTTTCTCAGCAAACCACTGCCCGATTTTCCTCATTAAAATTATTTTGAAGCTTAGCATAAAACCTGCAAAATTTATATTCATGGGTTGTTCATGCTATCCCCGCTGAGAGGCAAGAGTTAGCATTACTGTTCCCTAGTTCTAAATGCAGAACTAAAGTATTTACTTTCCCTGTTTTCATTTTGACACAAGAATTGTCTTTTATTAGGTGCTCAAAATATGCCAGCCTAATCCATAGGCAAGAGTCTGTATTAGAAAAAAACTAATATATTTTCAAAATTATCTACTACACGAATCATCTGTTCTAAATTCATTGTGAAAACAATAAAATATTAAATGCTTAGAGCAAGGAATAAAATATGAAATTCTTTTTGAAGATCATGACCCAAATAATGTTTTTAAAAAGTGTTTCTTAAATATTTTCCCCTAGGTTTTAAAAAAATAGTGTGTGTTATTTCTCCAACTGTCAAGTAATTTAAAAACCTTTCCTCACATATAACTTTTTAAAACCTCCACTCGTATATAATTTTTAAAAAAAGCTGTTGTTGGAACTTTGGCAAAATGTATCTTAACTATTTCCAGATAGCTTCCCCTAAAGGTTTTGTATCGCTTTCTTTTCCGTTTTGTGATGTAAGTTGTATTTATTAGTATAAATGTTGTTTTAAACAGTAAATTTATTGATATTGATAGTAGGTGGCCTAATAGGCCATTGAGCGGTCCTCTAAATATTTGAAATTGTCATTTACATTATTTAAACAGGGAGTACATGGCTTTTGGTTTTCTTTTTCTTAATAGGAAAATAAAAATTAAATTGAGTTTAAATAAATTTTCTTGTTTTTGTAAGGAAGAGAAATGTAAGTAATTAATTGTGCCCTTCATGTTTTATCACTATTTCTTTTAGGTGCACAGTTGGATAAGATGGGATTCACAATTCTCAGAAAGTGCATCAGTGCAGTTGAAACACGAGGTAATGTGATTATCTGAGTCATTTTATTCCTGAAAGTTGACAGGTATGTGAAATCTGAGAGACGTTTAAAATGCTCATTGCATGGTTGAGTGTCGTAAAGGGAAATACAGAAAAGAATGGGCACATTCTCCATGTCAGAGATTCCGTTGTTCATTTATTGTGTCAGGATGGGGTTTTCTTTTTCATTTACATACTCCTCCCAGCACTGAAAAGGAAGAATCATGGAAGAATCAGCAGTGTTGGGCTGCCAATCTTAATCACCTTTTGTTCATGCACTGTTGAGATATTCCCATATCCATGGTCATGTTGGCCTCCATCGAAAAAATAAGTTTCTTTGGTGTCTCATTTACATATAATAAAGTTCACTGACTTTAACAGTACAGCTTGATGAGTTTTGATAAGTGTATACAGTTGTAGAACTACTGCAATCATAGATTGCTCTCTCTCCTCAAAATCCCTTTGGGCCTCTTTGCAATCAATCTCTATTCCTTCCTTGGCCCTTGGCAATCATTGAGCTGCTTTTTTGCACTCTAGTTCTTTTTAAAAATAGCATTTTATATAAGTGGATTAATGCAGTATATCATCTTTTGAGCCTAGCTTCTTTATTTGGCTTAATGCTTTTGAAATCCACCTTGTTGGGTGTATCCTTAGCTCATTTTCTTTTTATTGCTAGGTAGACTTCCATGACATGGATGAACTGAATTTATTTATCCTTTCACATGTTGATAAATATTTGGGTTGCTTCCATCCTAAATTGAAGGGAAGCTAATCCTTTCCCCAACCAAAAGTTCACGGGCATTTCTTTACAGTCCCTGAGGAAAAACAGGGCTGTGGCACTTTGCAGCCCTTCCAGCCGACTTCAGAGAAATAATCTGGTGAGGTACTGGAATATTGAGAACTTAATTCACTTTCATGCATGTACATTCCAGGCCTACTTTGGATGACTTAGTGAGATGAAGCATTGCATTCATGTTTTCTGTCAAAACAAGGCCTTTGTTATATACAAGCCAGAACTGCTGCCTGTGAAATTAGCCTGTGGGATATGAGCTGTTCTGTGATTTGGGGATTTGCCCATCAATTACAAAGACCTCAGCCACAGAGAGCCTTTTCTCCCACACTCTGTTACAGTGGCCATGGAGGCTCTGACAGTTTTCCTTCATGTCCACCTGCGCTGAAGTTGAGCTGACAGCTGTCTTCATTTTCCTCGTGCTTCCAGAATTTTCAGACTTCAGGAAAATACTGTGATTCTCATATCTCTCACTTCTTATTCATGTTTCTGTTTTCCCTGAGCCTCTTAAGAACCTTAATTGTATTACTTGTATGTATATTATTTTGATCATTGAATTCTTTCCCCAAAAAGTTATATTTTACACATTTTCTGAATAGATAAAAATCTGTGTAGAACTCTTTCTTATTGATATGTGTAGCTTTTGGGAATCTTCTGTACATTGACTAGAACATGCAGGGTGGGGCAAGAGTAGGTTTACCATTGTTTGTGTAGAAAATAATGCACTAATTAATGATAATACAAGAATAATAAACTCTGTGTTTTGTGTATTCACAACTATAAACCTACTCTTGCCCCACCCTGTATTTATTAGAACCTATATATATGGAATGTATTTTTATTATAAATATATTAAGTTGTTGGATTTTTTTTCTTTTTTAATCCTCATCCGAGGATATTTTTCCATTGCTTGTTTTAGAGAGAGTAAAGTGAGGGAGGGAAGGAGCGAGGGAGGAGAAAGAGAGGGAAACATCGATGTGAGAGAGATACATCGATTGGTTGCCTCCCAAACAAGCTCTGATAGGAGCTGGGGATTGAACCTGCAACCCAGGTACTTGCCCTTGGCCAGGAATCAAGCCCGAGACCCTTCAGTTTGCAGGCCAGTGCTCTAACCACTGAGGAAGCCGGCCAGGGCTGGATGTTTTTAACAGAAGAACGAATCTACACTTTTAACACATTGTTTGCGGGTAGTTTTTATCGCGCGCTAACAGGTGGCGTGGGCCATTTTTGCTAATTTTTTGCACAAATGGCAACCTTCAGTAAAATTATGATAACTTTAGTTTACGGATTTATACGTTACCCGCATTCTACCGCTAGTCTATAAAAAACGTATTAATACGTGTCCCATGCTCTACTACACTGGTAGAACGTATAAATACGTAAAACGTATAAATACGTTTCCCGCATACAATGTGTTAAATTAGGTTTTCCCATTTAAATATTAAAAAAACACATTTTTTTTCAAATTTTTTATTCTCCAAGGGCTTCCATTATTAAAGCCTTTTGTTTTTAATGGATTAATAGACTAAAAATAGTTAAAGAATCAACTGTCAGATGATATTATTAAAAACTATAGGCCTGGTGCACAAAAATTTGTGCACTCACTCGGGGGTGTCCCTCAGCCTGGCCTATGCCCTCTTGCAGTCTGGGACCTCTCGGAGGATGTTCACCTGCTGGCTTAGTCCTACTCCCTGGGGGATTGGGCCCAAGCTGGCAGTCAGACATCCCTCTGGCAGCCCAGCAGCCCTCAGGGGATGTCCACTTACCAGCAGGGAGCAGACCCTAGCTGCAGTCGGACATCCTTAGTGCTGCTGAGGAGGCGGGAGAAGCTCCCACCACCACCACTGTGCTGGCAGCCATCAGCCTGGCTTGTGGCTGAGCAGAGCTTCTCCTGTGGGAGTGCATTGACTACCAGGGGACAGCTCCTGTATTGAGCATCTGCCTCCTGGTGGTCAGTGTGTGTCATAGTGACCAGTCATTCCCAGTCGTTCTGCTGTTAGGGTTAATTTGCATATTACCCTTTTATTATATAGGATAGAGGCCTGGTGTGTGGGTGGGGGCTGGCTGGTTTGCCCTGAAGGGTGTCCCTGATCAGGGTGGGGGTCCCGCTGGGGTGCCTGGCCACCCTGGGTGAGGGGCTGATGGATGTTTTCAGGCTGGTCACACTCCCTTCAGGGTGGGGGTCCCCACTGGGGTGCCTGGCCAGCCTGAGTGAGGGGCTGATGGCTGTTTGCAAGCTGGTCAAGCCACCCCCCCAGTGGGGACCTTCACCCCATGGAGGTTTGGCCAGCCTGGGTGAGGGGATGATGGCTGTTTTCAGGCAGGCCACACCCCCTTTAGGGTGGGGGGTCCCCACTGGGATGCCTGGCCAGTCTGGGTGAGGGGCTGAGGGCCGTTTTCAGGCTGGCCAAGCCCTCTGGCGATAGAAGCTCCCAGCCTCTCCTTTTTTTCTTTGTTTATTCTGGGATTTATTTACCTTCTATAATTGAAACTTTGTAGCCTTGAATGGAGCTCAGAGCCAGCCAGAGCAGGCGGGAAGCTTGGCTTCCTCCATCGCCAGGGGCAACCCAAGCCTCCTGCTCGCTCCAGCTCCGTGGCCCTGGCCGGCTGAAAGCAGGTATCTGGGGTTTATTTATTTTCTATAATTGAAACTTTGTTGCCTTGAGTGGAGCTCAGAGCCGGCCGCGGCAGGCGGGAAGCTTGGCTTCCTCCACTGGGGCAGCCAAGCCTCCTGCTTGCTCCAGCTCCGTTGCTGCCGGCCGCCATCTTGGTTGGATTAATTTGCATATAGTTGCTCTGATTGGCTTGGTGGGCATGGCTTAAGGCATAGCGAAGGTATGGTCAATTTGCATGTTTGTCTTTTATTAGTGTAGATAATGAGGAACATTAGAGAATCTCTGAGGCTTTTTATGCTAAATTTGGAAGCTCTTTCAAGGAATTTGGTCTTAATGATTTCCCCCAGTCAGCTGTAATTGCTGTTGGTATTTTTTTGTGCTACAGGTGTTGTTGTCTCACTTTATTTCATCAGTCAGAATAAAGCTAGTTTACGGTATGCTCCTCTAACAAGAGACCCACAAGTGTCTATGGTTTAAAACAGCAGGACTTACTTTTCTCTCAGGTATGGGTAGGAGGGCTTTGCTTATCACTGATACCTGGCCTTAAAGGTGCCTGGTCCCTTTTGCAATCCAAAGAAGTTAAGGTTCCTGGTTGCTGTGCCTGCGGGAAACAGTGCTGGAAAGTGGGGATGGAGGGGCAGAGAATGCAATGCCCCTGGGACCTAACTCAGATACAGAGAACCAACTGATGGTTGCTGGAGGGGAATGGGGTGCGGAGATGGGAGGAAAAGGGGAAGGAGATTAAAGAATACAAACTTCCAGTTATAAAATAAGTCATGGGTATGTAGTGGACAGCATAGGGAATACAGTCAATAATATTGTCATAATTATATATGGTTACTAGACTTATCAGGGTGATTCCTTTGCATGGTATATAAATGTTGAACCACTATGTTGTACACTTGAAACTCATACAATGTTGTACGTCAAGTATAACTTAAAAAACTTTAAAAAAATAATGGTCGAGACTAGAGGAAGGACAGGAGAGGATCGTGGGAGGAAGGGTGACACCGTTACTCTGAAGGAGGTTTACTTATTCATGAATTGATAAGCAGTTGTCAGGTTTAAGCTCCAAAGTGGTGAGATAAGATAGGCATCTTGGAAAGATTCTTAACCTCTGGGACTCTTGATTTCTAAAAGAATGTAACTCGGAATTTCATTCATGCTGTCTAGCTCCATGCATGTTTGTGAGGATAAAAGAGCTAATTTTTGTACATAGTAGATATTCATTAACTATATTTGTCCTCTTTCCATCCTTCCCCTGAATTCTTTTTAATTGTGAAATGTCCATGTTCTTCCTTTAACTACGATATTGCAGGGTGTGTTCATTACATTTCATGTATTTATCTTGTTTCTGAAACTTGACTCTTTCCTTTAAGTAGAGAAAACGTCTTAGTGTTTGCCTGCCTTTCTTCATTTCTAAGTTTGGTCAGTGTCTTACACATATAGTAAGCAACTGCTTTCTGTTTGAGAATTCAGAGATTTGATTAAAATGGCACCTTAGCACCATTGTGTGTCCCAACAGTTTGTAAAATTATTGGAAGAATTTATTCTTCTATATGTGGTTGGAATTAGTACTTTCAAATAACATGAAGGAT